CTCCACATCAAACAGCACTCTCCAACACTGAACAACGTTCAGTCTTCATTTAAATTATACATTTTTTGATATGTTCGTATTACTGATTTTACTTCTTTTTGTGTGTCTGTTTTCTTGCTGTAGTTTCTCCCCATGATTACTGTTTTATTTGTTTAATTATCGTTATATTTAGCAATTATACTTTGACAATGTCCAAAGATTTATGCAAATTTATTTGATTTTGCTTTAGATACTGAAGATGGAATCTGATAGAATTCCGAAACGTTTATTTATGTCCCTTTTCTGTTAATAAACAATGTTGTATATCATAAGTGTCGTAATGTTGTTTATTATTAAACTTCGTTTTCCTTCGAACACGTCGATTGCAATTGATGTATATATCTCACCTCAAGGGTGATTTGTGCCTACTAGATCTGATTAAGCATTCCACAGTCCAAGCATTACTGGTAAAATGTTAATCCCGAGACTATCACTAATGTAAAGCTCCTTCCCGTACTTTCTTTTTATCTCTATCATTTCTGAAAATCTTTCAACTAAGTACCTTGTTTTAAATAGCAGCAAACTTCTGATAGCTCTTTTTTGTAGTCCCCCGGTAGGACAGCATTAGGTTTACGGGCTTATAACGCTAAAATCAGGGGTTCGGTTCCCCGCTGTAGACACAACAGATAGCCAGATGTGACTTTACTCTAAAAGTAAGAACAATAATCAACAATCTTTATGCAATGTTGGGATATTCAAGTTTATCTCGGTTCAAAAATCTGGAAAGAAAAACATCCAGAAATTTCCTTATCAGAGCTCCGGTACATGGAATTTCAAAAAGTTCATTTTCGCAGTTATTAGACAGGATAAGACACCATATAGAGCATAAACAAAATAAGCCCTGTATCTAAGACATCTGAGTGAAGGAAACAATGATGCCAACAGTTTCTTTTGCTACTTCAGAACTTTGCCTAACGACCTTAGATTTGCTCTTTGTCACAGGTGCTGCACCGATGGTAGCAACACTAACATTCCTCTTTCTTCATGAGAGTGTCCAAAACTTTAAAAATCTCCTCATTTGTTATATTTGTGGGGACTTCTGCACTAACCAGTAAATACTCTTCTAGTGCGCCTCATTAAATCCAAGTATTTCTGTCCACATATCCAAAGCAGCTGGCAACAACAATTTTACCGGAAGTTTGCGCGCGTTCTTACATTTAGCTAATAGTAAGAAGGCTTTTAATACATGCTGAGATGGTTTTTGCTTGTTTGTTTTAAAGACAGAGCTACATAATGGGTTATCTGTGTTGCGCCCACCACGGGTATCAAAGCTCGAATCTTAGCATTATAAAATTTCAACTCACCGCTCAGCCACTGGGGGTGGGAGCTACTTTGAAATAGAGTAGAACATTTTTATTTTTGTATCTTCTGCAGTTTTTTTTAAAAAATAAGCTCAGGTTTACTCTCATCAGTCGAACGTTGCGTTTGGCGATGTCTCTCTAACTTTGAGAGTTTCGTGCTTTTAACTGCAAACACCTCTCAGAAATGACGCATTGGCATTCGGGCTGAAACCTTAAACTGAGCCACAACTGAAGGTTACGATTCGTCGTATATTTCTTTTCCTTTCTAGGTGCCACTTCCTGTGTCATTTGATATTGATACAGCATCCTGTACATCAGCCCCAAAACGTTAATCCCCCCCCCGCGCTGGCTCAGCGGTAAGTTTAAGGTTTTGCAACGGTTCCTTACCCGTGATGAACATACATCACAAATAGCCCATTATGTAGCCTTTTCGCATAACAACAAACAGACAAATTTCAAAAGGACCCGTTCCTATATTAACTTCTAAGGAATAATGCTACATAAATGAAAACAGCTATGCAGTATTTTCACTTTAAACTTTTTTATTCGTTTCTTATAACATAACGTTTTCTATTATTTTTGCTCTCTTAGTAGTACAACTTCACTTCCTTCCAAGTATTTATCTCGTTCCTTCGTTTTCGCCCACAATTCATTGTATTTGACTCTATCTTAGTACTGTATTTTGTAAGCAACCTAGTTCTGTCTTGCTCTCAAATCGAATTACACCAAAGAAATACAACAAAACATAT